TTGTGTTCCGTTGACACGAGGAAAATTCTAATTTTTATGTGGTTCAGTTATAGAAACTCCAAGAGAGCTGCTTTGGGTTTGTATCAATTTGTTAAATAAATATCGCAAAAGTATGTGAACATGTGCATATCATGAGTGATACTTTTATACTGCAGTGTATGCATTAAAAGAATAGCATGAAGACGCTATGTACAACTGTGTACATGTAAATACAAACCAAGTGCCTTTGTTATGAAGACTCAGTTTCCTTTTTCAATTGTCACTTAAATTCTAAAATATTTTACCCATCATTTCTTGTCGGATCTTACGTAACAAAATCATCACCAATGTATGTAAAATATCGGTGTCATCTGCACAGATTTTACATACAATCCGAAAGTCACGGCGCTTTAAAAACATTTGTGCCTTATAAAAAGATAAATAATAATTTTTAAAAACCCATAACATTTCTGATTGCCTGTAATCACGAGTGTATAAGTATCGTCCCCGATGGTATTTAACATCAGGCACATGTGATAAATGGCAGTTGCTCGAGAAATGCTTTCGAGTACAAAGCTTAGTAGTTGTCAGATGTGATGAATAACAAGTTTCATGGATACCCGAATACATGTCCTTAATGTATCTCCGAGGTTCTTAATCGGCTGTTACAACAGAAAAAAAAGTCTACAAGCCTCTTCCACATTAATAGCCTCCTACTATCATGTGCCGTGACACAGCAGGTCTGCATTATAGATTGACTTACAAGTTTTTGACGTTATATAAGTAGTATTGTCTACGGCAGACTGAACATTCCATACTGATAGGATTATCCCCCCACCCCATTTTTCTCTGACGCCGTTGATTTGTTCCGTTATCTGTGAACCCCAACATGACATGAGCTGTTTGGAGCACGCAAATTCCAACAGTTTGATCTTTCTATTTTTCTGTTAGATATATTTGCAACAGCTCAACTTAAAAAGCCGCATCTTTTCCTGTGTGTAATGATCAATTCGCCAATAATTCGAATTTCTTAGTCTGTTTTTAATGTACCAAAGGATAATTGGTCTACAGTTGACCACAAAACTGTAACTAACCAGAAAGATATTGGTGACACGTGCCAGGTCTTATGTACCACTGGAATGTTCTATATGATTATCATTCGTTGAGAATTGTTGCACGCGCCTGACATATTACGGCGGTGACAGTACGGCCTAGAAAACCGTTATAACAATCCATGTGATTTTTAATGTTATGTATCATGAGATCTTTTCTGTTACTATTTCTAAGATGTTCAATTTCCGCCCCCCTCCTCCTCCCCTCTCCCTGACAAAATCATTTGCCAATGGTGTTCATGAATAATTTAAGCACGCTGGATACATGTCATATTGGAATGGTGATGATATAATGTAATATCTGTAAAAGTTCCTGCTTCATCGACCAAAATCTTCGTAATGGCTTTCAACACCACTGCAGCCATAACTTGTGTCTTGATGTATAATATGTACCAGGCACTTCTAGGGTATCGACATCACTCGTTTTAAGACAAGTAGTCCTTATTTATTTCTTGCGTAACGGAACCATTTCCCCTAAACTTTTGATCCAGTATTCTCAACAGCAGATCCCACTAACATACAGCGGAGAGCAAGGGTTAAATTAGATACATAAAAATACACACAAGAAAATGAGAAATAGGGAAAAAAACTGAATGCCATACGTTGAATTCTAAATCTAGACAAGTTGATATGTCAGTAATACGTTTGTCTCATTTTGAAATTAATGACTTTATATTAAGGCTACAGTTAGACTTTTTTGTCTATATTGCAATAAAAACTACAGCAAGACATGTATAAAAGCTAACATATAATGTTTTGATGATTTAGTTCCCTTATTTTTCTAAATGTAGGACAATTTTATGTATAATATATATTGACTACCCAGAAGAAATATCCATGACGTGAGGAATGCAATAATTTCATTTGACTACATCTGTTTCTTTCAGTTGGCATTCATAGGCGTATAAATGCCAACATGATATGAGCAAATTAAATAAAGCGCGTCCATGCTTAATTTGCCTGTATCCGTTTGGCGTTCATATTATCCATGAATGTCAATTAAAGCAGTTCAATGCTAATACTTACCATTTTGTCCAAAAAATGCGGTAAGCCACATTCCACCCTGATCAATTAGGGTAAAATGTCTAGCCAAAATACACAACCATGTTTGTTCAGACAGTACCGCATCTTAGCTTTCTGTGAAACCAGACCATCACTGGTAGGATCCGTCGAGCCATGTACCAGGCATCTACGCCTGATGTCACAAAGGGCAATTACTAGAGGTGATATTCCATCTATAGTATGTTAGAGTATCTGGCCATTTTAATTATCCACAGTATCTGCGAAAGGAACCATTTGTGTTGATGTTGGAGTTAGCCCGATCCCATTTTTATTTGTGACAATTTAGAAGCGGAAAGATCGCTAGACACCTCATAATAACAAAATATTCCCAAAATGTGATGCTCCTATGTCTCAGCTGATTTTGATATTCAAGGGCCCTTACCTGGTCTCAATGTCTCGACTTTCTTGAAGGATGTCTACAAATGACAAACTCACAACACAGGGTTTCGAGAGATGCAGGTTGGTAAAACTGCTTGAGTAGTTTTAAAGTCGTCGCGTTTTTTTCAATGGAAAATATTTTATTCCAATCTTTAATGCGATATGAAGTGAAACGTGTTTGATGGCCGTTAGTATACTTGTTAGTCTCGTTGTTTTGGGAACATCACATTACTTACTCATATTGACAGTTTCCAGGTGGGTGTAGTCGAAGATATTTACTCTTCTGGAACACTTGGGCTTATTCTTACTGAGCTTATTTGGGGAGTCTTCTCGTAAATATTTCTTTGTTTAAATTTTCTCTAGAGTTACTTAATTTGAGTTTGGATTTTGATTATGTTTTCCTGTTTCGATAATGGACAATATCTAACTGTTCTAAAAATATCAGCAGCGAACGGCAGCTTTAACTATAAGGTCAGTAATATATATCCCCAACAACTGGGCGCATTGGGCTGGCAGCATGGGGGAATTGGGGCACTGGAGGATGGGGAGGGGGTAGTCCCACGCTTTGAGGCTCAAAAATGTATCGATCGTGTTTTATGTTGGTAGAATGATAACATATGTCTATTTCATATATTAAATGTACGGTAAGTAAACCAAAAACTCATACTCTGTAGTCATCTTTATAACACATATAAAGTACCGTTATGTATTCCGAAGAACAAAATAACTTCCCTTAATGATGATGGATTTCGCGCACAGTGTGTGATTCCAGTTACTCGCCTTGACAGTTGAAATTAACTTAATCATATACCAACCATTTCGAGCTACACGATGATAGATGGGGTATTTTGTCGTTAGGACTGATTTTTGTTCTCGGCTTCGGAATCTCAATGGGAGATTACATCATAATGTTCATAATTCCTTTGTCACGCGGTATTAAGCGCCGCATGGCCAAAGAATTAGTTTTGTAATATTGGTAAACTTGAAATACTGAATATCATGACTTTTTATCTCTCTGAAATGTATTTACACGATATATTTCAGACGAATAGGGGCTTGATAGATGGAACTTCTAAGGACGTTAATGAAGTTGATATTTCATCATAATTTCTAGACTTGAAGTACAGTTTTATTTTTCAATAAACTGTATTGACTTTTATTTCTCTATCTGAGAGAACAATTGCCCGCCATGACGATTAATACTTTCTGAAATGTTTACGTAACAAAGAATAAAAAAACGCTATCCACAAATTCTACCATAAATAGGGTGAAGATTTCTCGCATGCAAACGTTGACGTTTTGTGTCTTCCATCGACATGTAAACATTCGCTGGCTATACAAAAACTGGGAAGGCTAGAAACCAGGTTACGTTTTTTTCTACCACAATGATACACCACTTATTCTGTGGGAACAGATTTAATTGGGTAACAAAACATTCGTTTCACTTAAGGGAGGTACGTTTCGGATTTTTTCAATGTGGAAGGAAATAAAGTTATCGTAACTGACAAAGGAAATCCTTCAGGAACAATGGAATTTTGCCCAAGTACCAAATTGAATAAAAGTGGATGATATTTGTAGCATCTTAAATGACTTCCCATGAAATAGGATTTAGAAATTCAAAAAGGTCCATAGGGCCTGTGCTATGACCCATTTAGTTTCGTGATCATGGGAGTATGGCAGGGTTCAGTTTTCCACCTGAAAAATTATTAAAACCACAGTGTACATCACTAAATGATATCCTGTTTGATTAGGAAGGATCAGTTTGACAATATGGTGGTAAATATGTATCAAAATATTACAAAATAAAAATAATAATGCAGCTCCAAAATTGAAAAGCTATGATTTTTGACATGTTTTGACCTGAAGCCTGTACTTTCCGTTATATATTATTTGACCCTTTATGACAAGAACAGTTGGTGAAAATTTCAGGAAAATCGAGAACCGGTAAAGTGTCATTTAAAAGCCAAAATATTAATATTTCAATTTTAGTCGATTTGGTGGGGTTCGACAGCGGTCAGTATTTCCTAAAAAAATGTTAAACTAATGTTAAACATAGTCATAGAATGGCAGCTTTGAATAAATAAATTCTGCTACAAGTTCTCAAGTCAAAAAAAATATTGTTAATCAATAAAAATTAACAATCTCGAACTTGAAAAACTTTTTTCAACAGAATCTCAAAGAAAAAAATCCGTTTTCAGTGCACCAATAATTTTATCAAATTATTTGGCCCATTACCTGAAGTATATACAGTGAAAATTTCAGAAAGTTTGAGAACCGGTAAAATTGCCATTTAAAGGTTCGACCAAAGTTACTATATTATTTCATGAAATTACAAGGAAGAGAAGTACAATTATCTAATAAACAGTATTTTGACAAGGCAAGTGTTTACAAAAAAAATCACTCTAATTTAAGATTTTATTATTTAACAAATGTCATTTACTTGTATGTATTAAAATGAACAGAGCCTACATATCGAGTCTATAGGTAGTTGTTGAAAGGACAAAATAGTTATCTTCAGGACATGCCTGATCATCAACAGAGTGTAGTGGACTTGTTTCATCTAATTCCTGTACATTATAGTATGTAAATGAATTATGCAGTTCTACATTCAGTTGTGAGATGTATAAAAATATATATCAGTCAAATGAGTGATATCATCAAGTAAAATCTTGTATCATTATTCAGAGCAATTAAGTAATTGCATGAAATGAATGACAAGCGCATCATTTCAAGTTGCCTTACAAGGTTCAAAGATAATGACGAAACCCTAAAATTGCCGAGGAGTCTTGATTCACAGTATGGTAGGTGGCTAAAATCTTAGCTCAGAGAAGACGGGTTATTAGTGATAACCGATAGCAAGATTTGCAAAAGGTGTTATACACAGCATCTAAAAATGACTAAGACCGGATACAAACGATGACTACTCCCAATATGATGAAGCTCCTCTTCAGAATATACGTTTGAGAATATCAGTAGTGACAATGCAGATAATGTTGAGATTTCACAGACACAGTCCCACATTTGAGCGTCGACAATCTGAAGTATACCGCAACATCTCATCGAGAATGTTCTATATGTCTTAGTTATAATGACAACGGCGTTAATATACTTAAATCTGCACACCACAGTCTGGTCATCAAGCAGCGACTATGGTGCTCTCCTGATGCCCCTGTTCTCTAAGAACACATCATTGGGGTTTTTTCTACATCTCGATACTGTAGGATCTTCGGTCAACCGTAGTCCACTACGACATTAACTGAATGACACTATTTCATCATTAGTCATAAATGATCTCCTTGAACCCATTCATTGGGTATCCACTCAAGGCAATTCGCCAAAATTGCAGTTTAGGAACCTTTCTGATTTAGGCTGTCATGCGTGGACTGTCTGGTCATGGAGTTATGTATCGACTAATACATGTAATCCCCGTTTTCTGATACTTCCATCTCAGATCTCAAGAGAGGACGGACTCACAAAAAATCACCTAATCGAGAACAGTTATAAGCTCCGGATTGGATATCTTAACCTCAGCTGTAGCTAACTGAAATATAGGACTTGGTATTGAAGTTGTTGAAAATATACGTGTAGTTACGACATGAGACGTAATAATCCCAAACTCTCATGTTTTAATCGATTTTGTGTTCCGTTTTGATGTTTATCTTTTAGTTTATCGTCCCCATGTCTGTCGGATGCGTGTCAATAACTAGCGATTCGTCATCAGTGATGATTTAATATCTCTTCAAATCCACCTCTTCATTACTCCCAAGACCAATACACTAAACGGCATAAGGAGCATGCGGCATCAAATTGGCGCTGTGATGTCTTCAACTCTAACGTCAAAGCGAACGAGATGGTATTTTTACACTTGTTGTAACACTTGTGTTTATTTTCTATTGACGATATCCCCATTTTTCCTGACATTATTTTTTCTGTTTCCTTCTTCGCAATGTCCTATTTTCTCAGAGTGAAATAGAATCCTTTAATCAGTTAAAAGCTCTCCAGAAAGCTTCCAGCTGAAATAATACGAAAAAATCATAGAACATTATCTGACGATGCAATTTTTACGCAGTCCTAAATGGATATAAAATCTGTATGATGCCGTTTTAATCCAAATTTATTATTCGTCTCTAATTCTGAATCTGTATGGAAAGATGTTATTCACTTGTGTGTCATTTGCATAATATTCATTCGAATAGTATGGTACAGAATTTACACATGTACTTGACGTTTTACTGAAATTATCAGATACACATGTATATAGAAATTATATTGAATGGTAGGGTTAGCGAACCTTAATATATGCATTTTGACATTTAATTCGGTCATTGATTTTTTTCAGTCGCCTCTCAGGCTTAAAAAATAGGTCCTTAGAATCACTGACGAGTCCTTGTATAATAAAACAGCTGTGTGATACAGTTTTTGTTCAATAATTGACTCTACGTTATCGAATTATGGATTGGTATTAAAACGTGCTGTTCAACTGTTTTTCTTCTATACATTTTATAACTAAGACAGGGAAAGAGTGAAAATTGTCATGTTTATCGTTATTGAATCATTAGTATTTCATTTTTAAATGGTCAGAAGATATTAGAACTTGACATCGGTAATGAAACGATTATCAAACACTGGAGGAGTGTTTGAACTAATAGAATACTTATATATCCGTATCAACCTTCTTGTGTTGCTAGATTCCAGAGTATAAAAACTGGGTACTTACAAGTAATAGGGTATATGTAAGCGTCATGAAAAAATTAACAATTCTTTTGGTTTTTTGTTTATTACTTTCCCAAAGGATGGATTAATTTAATTTGTAATGCACGCTCGGAGAACGAGTTCGTGATTCTAGGTGGTATCGTCTTTAAGGCACGTCACCGAAACTTCATAAATATGTTAATTAGTGCCTCAAAGTGTGTTTTAAATCCGTTACTGTAAAAAGGCCTTCTGCTAACATCGACATTATTTCAAATATAATTGTGCGAAAAGGTCCACTGAGATCGCTTTAAATCGAAGTATTCATACGCTGGACTTGTTAGTCATGCGTGATCAGAGGACGTTTCCTTCGCTGGGCCAGTTCGTTGTGTGTGATCAGAGGACGTATTCCTCCACTGTACCTGTTAGTCGTGTGTGATCAGAAGACGTATTTTTCCGCTGGACCTGTTAGTCGTGTGTAATCAAAGAACGTATTCCTCCGCTGGACCTGTCGATCGTGTGTGATCAGAGGACGTATTCCTCCGCTGGACCTGTCAGTCGTGTGTAATCAAAGAACGTATTCCTCCGCTGGACCTGTAAGTTATGTGTGATCAGAGGACGTTTTCCTCTGTTGGACCTGTCAGTCGTGTGTAATCAAAGAACGTATTCCTCCGCAGGACCTGTAAGTTATGTGTGATCAGAGGACGTATTCCTCCGCTGGACCTGTCAGTCGTGTGTAATCAAAGAACGTATTCCTCCGCTGGACCTGTAAGTTATGTGTGATCAGAGGACGTATTCCTCCGCTGGACCTGTCAGTCGTGTGTAATCAAAGAACGTATTCCTCCGTTGGACCTGTAAGTTATGTGTGATCAGAGGACGTTTTCCTCTGTTGGACCTGTCAGTCGTGTGTAATCAAAGAACGTATTCCTCCGGTGGACCTGTCAGTCATGTGTGATCAGAAGACGTATTCCTCCGCTGGATCTGTTAGTCATGTGTGATCAGAGGACGTATTCCTCCGCTGGATCTGTTAGGCATGTGTGATCATAATGCCAAATATCCAGAAATACAAATACAAAATTTGAATATAATACTCTTGTGCAAAAGTTTCAAGAAAATATATGAAATATTATCGTTTAACTAATATCGGAGAATATGTAAAGCTAACAAATATGTATATTACCACTAGGTTTCGCTGAATTTATGTTAAGGTCGGTGCACGTGGAAGTCGGTATGTAAATTGTTAGTAAAAGCATGCACGAACAAGCCATAATTCCAAGTCTTTGCATGCTTACCATGTATCCCCTGGGCTCGGCTCATGCCCATAAGTTTAGTTAGGTGTATATTATTATATCCAACATCAACTATAATCGATAAGTGAAAATTAATGGGTTAAGCGTTCGCTTGATATTCTTGGCATATTACATTTGGAAAACAAAACAATATCACTGGTGGTAAAAAGAAGCGGAACGGATGCTGACAGGCCGGAGAGGAGGCTAGGTTCTCTCGCTTATTGAATGCCTTCTTAGTTGAGCGACAAGTGTAACGTGGAGAAAATGGACCCCGTTGGAAAATGGAAAAGGCTCCATTTCTCCTCAGTGTGAAGAAACATGACATCTATCATATTACTTGTGTCATCAATAGACAGACTGCTACAAGTAAAGACCTTTAATCAGCTATGAAAGCTCAATTAGCAGAGAGAAAAAATATAGTACACAATTTAGTACGGGTTCCGAGCCCTATATTTTTGTGTCGTTGTTTGCTGTAGACGTGAATAAACCGGTTTCTCAGGATGTACAGGATCTAGTAGTAGAAAGACATATGTTCTAGTAGAAGAAACTCGCCGAAGAGCCGGTACTAAAATTGGTCCAAAAAACCTTTATAAATCTTCAAAATCCAGTTTCCATTAATTCTGTAGTGTCTCAGTATTTTACAACAGACACACAAGTAATTACACATTTCAATACAAAATTAGAACTACTTATTGTAGAGCCTAACGATGAATGAACTGCATCAAAAATCCTTTTCGACTGTCTAGAAATTTTCATTGATACCTCAGTTATAACAATGATTTGGACTTTTAAATTCTGTTACAATATGATCATGGAATTTAGATTTTATGTATATAAAGGTGTCCCTATATTAGTCATATACCCATGAGCTGACGATCTTTCACCAAAGGAGAATCTAGAACGGAATTGGCTAAAACTCACTGATTTACCTCAATAAACTGAATCTGAATCTACCCACTTGAGGTTTTATCTTACACATATATAGCTTCATAAAGCTTCCTTCGCCAGTACAAGGGAATTGTTTTTTTCATTACCTCTATATATTTAGTACATTCAGGTACAGCTACTTCAAATATGGCCATTTCTACCTGATACTGAAAGGAATTTCAACAACTTTTGACAGACACAAAGGATCAACCAAAAGAACCACAATGCTTTGTTTTTATTTATAAAACTTCCACAAAAATGCAATCAATTTCTCTTGTTTAATCGTCACGTACTTCAATGGTCTAGTCAATTCAGATTGAGTTTTTCTAAACTCAAGGTCGTGTATTATGGAAGAAAATACTGTTGAAAACTCGGTACTTTAGCGCATAGCCATGAATTCACCAACACGAAAGTAGGTGTGCTGTCTAGTAAATGTGCTGCGACAGAATCGCTCGATTTCCAAACAGAAATATGAACAAATACTGCGGACAAACATTTTCCTCATGTAATATCCGGGTTTTTTTTCTAGATCTCTTATTTCTTTTTACTTCCTTGTAATTAGCTATTTTATTACGAGAGTTTACATTGTTTCGATCTCGGTGTGACACCACAACCGATTAACAGTTTCAGTAAATTTACAGCTGATTTTGACAGCTACTTTCATGTCCGCTGTGATTTCGTTTGGAACTAATAATAGTACAGGATTACAACTCACAAAAAGGTCATTATCTCATATAAATCGATAATGCCATTTCCAGATGTTCAAAATGTAAAATACTTGACAGGATATCTATTGCAGGGCTTGTGTTTTGGTCTGCTATAAAAGGAGTAGCCATATTATTCAAGGACATTTCATTATGTAATCTTCTGACAAACCCAAAGCGAACGCTTGAATATTTGTTTAATCAGATTCCAATCGTGAATTCAGTGTTAACTGAATGACGTACATTGACTTAAAATGTACAATATTAAGCATTGTGATTTTTAACCAATAAAAATAAGTTTTTTGTGTTTTTGGTCTGACATCGATATTTGAATAATAACGCCGATATCAGCAGGTGCCTTGTTTACTGTTGAAAATGTACAAATGATCTGGATCCGTTTGATCTTTGAAGACAGACATGACTCATTGGCACGTGTGGCAATAAAAGATACCATTTTTTGAAAGGATAAATTATCATACGTTGTTCAAACATTGACAATTTTGGTTTTGAAGAAAATTGAAAACAGAACATAAGTAGAATGTTACGATTAAGGACTGCCTAACATGGTCTCTGAACTTAAAGGCAAATTATACAATACAGGAACTATACACCACATTGCTGCAGGAAAGCCATGTGAAGTATCTCATTATACTCGAAGAATCCATATCACCTGTTTAACCTACAGTAATGGGAATGACGAGGAAACCCAGTATAAAATAAGCTTCCGATTATTCTTAAATAACCCAATGCTGACTGTAGCGATAATTAGATAAGTTTCTTGAATACTAATGAAGGTAAGCATGTGAGATAAGCCACAATAAAAGTTAACTTAAAGTTGAGGAGTCACCATTTGAACTTGCCACTGTACTGTCCATTACCGTAAAACTCCTAATAAATTATGCATCACTAATTCAGTACTATGAAACTTATATGGTTAGATGATCAATAACGATAAATTTTTCTTGTCGATTTAATTGTAATCTTTATATACTAACATCTTAATATCGCATATATCAATACTACATATACATTGTATAACAAATGCAATATCATAGTTCTATGATACACTATGTTATTACGAAATGACCTGGAAATGACAGCTGCTGTGTATCGATATCTGCACACAAAATTTATGTAAGAAAACAGTCAGTCTGCAATACGACGATGTTGCTTAGTGCACTGCAGAAGCGGAATCTCCAGTGATATACAGCAAATAGATATGCTCCCGTTGATAACACACCAGGGATAGAAACTGACATGTGTATTATATTGCTATTAAATATATCGCTTAAAACATTACCTGGCGAACAAGTAGTTAAATCAATTCTTCTTATTTTTATGGATGTTCTAACCTTCAGAGTAGGTTATTGACTTCATCTTGAGAAATCTTCCTATGATATTTGTTATCTCCATTTCATCATACTGTGGCACATGGCAGTATCTGGCATACTACAAAGGAGACTGACTATATTTACAGCCACATGTGATTTTCTTGGCACCTGCACCTGTAGAGGATCACGAGATATGCCTCATTTACATATCGGAGGCCAGAAAGATTACACCAACATAACTTAGAGGATGACAGATCTGTAACATACGGTTTAACATAGCTTCCTGATTATTAACCCATGAATAATGAACTATTTTCGTTCAATCGCCTAATCGTCAAAACTCCAAACACCCATGTGAATTGTACTTGTTTCAGAGTTAACCTGTCCAGCTGTTTTACTGTTCGCTGTTATCATCTTCAACAAAACTTTCTGCTCATCAAGTGCCCATCAATTTGTTTAACTCTCCGCATTATCACATTTCCCCCTTAAAATTGCAATCTGACGACTCCCATTCGAACAATCGATCTCCTGATCTGACCGATGACAAGAAACCTAGATCTCATGTTTGAAACAAATTAAAGTTCGAGCAATCAACTTTAAGTGTATGAATTCAGGAGGGCTGCGGTTATGGTTTAACTTGCAATCACTGGTCTGTTTGGCCTTTATTGGTCCTATACGTGCTGATATTTTGAAAGAGAGATAGATAGAAAATTTAGCAGAAGCAAAGATTCCACTGAAAGAATACCATTTTCGTTGTTTTCATCGCAAATTATTTTCAACTTTGTCTGTAAACTACTGCATGTTAAGACACCTCAAAATATCACGAAATATGTCCTCAAATATTACGTTATTCCGGTATTTATTTAACGCCGTCCACCAAAACAATTGTGAGTTCGTTAGAAAACTTCATTTCCCTCCGACATTGGGAGCCCTTGCGCGTATTCATTCGAAAGGGCATATTATAATTAATATCACTTGTTCATTTCTTTCAAAAGTATCATGTCTTTTTTTCTGTGCCAGAATCAAAAAGCGAAAGTGGGGATAAAAATATTTCAAACTCTTAAAAAATTATAAGCTTTGCTATGATAAACATTATTAATTAAGTAAAATTATAAATTTGATCGTTTCTGGAACAGATTGCTCCGATGACTTATCAATTTATTTGTTCCGTACAAAAAATTAATTGTCTGGAAGGAAGCCATTGTTTCTCGTTGTAATGCTTACGTAAGGATATGCCATGTAATGAATGTTTATAGCATTAAATGACGGGTTGATATGGAAGGAATGTTACCATGCAACAGAATAGTGTACAGATACATGTATACAATACCTATGTGCTTCTCACGTGACGTAAACACACTAAGGTATGCATCAGGTAGGTTTATTAACTTTTTTTGAGAGCAATCCAAAACATCACCTCCTCCTCCTTCATTCAAACAGTGTTGTGCATTCTGAGAGCAGTATTGTAAGCTTAACAAGGTTTTTTTTTATTATTAATAACGGAGTGACCGACGGATTTATTTACTGTTGATATATTTCTCTACATACCTACCAAAAACAATTATTTATAGGATGGTAAACCACGATTTTATCAGCAATGATTATGAATTCTTCCTCTTCAAGCAACGCACAATGTCCATGTGTCGACAGTTGGCGTGCAATGCTACAAAAGGTGAACGTTTACGTGGGCAAATTCATAGAATATCAAACACACTGAAAAAGTCTTCTAAAGAACTGTGAAGCATTACGTTATATATGAGACACCTATATATCCAAGATTACACGGAGTTGATATGCTAATATATTCAATGAATTACTTAACATTTTATACGCCCAGTTATGTTTTGAAATGGAAAGCTTTTTAATTTGTCAAATTTTGACATCGTATTGACCTATTTTAAAAGACAGTTACTTTTCTTTGTTGATTTCTTCTGATGAAATAAAATCCTAAATCATCATTATCATATTTTTAACGTTACATCGACACAGAGGTCTTTAGCGCCAAGAAATGGTGGACAAAAAGTTCCAAACCATTAAAAATTAGACATAAAGTGAACAATAGGGTAATAGACCACTATCAAAACACTTACATATACTATCTAAATAACACAGCGGTCGGGGAAAGCCATATGCTCTTAAGCAAAACTAACGTGCAGAAACGTGATAGGCATTAATATAAGAAATTACCTTGACCAGAATTCAAGGCCATTTGATAAAATGTCCAATGTGTAAAAATTGTTTGAGCAAGAATTGAAAAAACCCACAAGTGAATGTGACCAATCAATACAAATTTAGAATAAGAAACAGTACAGCCAAACAATGAGTTAAATGACTTCTCCGGAAGAAGTTTTAATGGTGAATGAGTCCTTTCCTTGCAAAGTTTGAAGGCAGAAATGACCTATTTAGTATGTACACGTGTTCTGAATAGACTTTAACTTCATAACACCATTACACTTAAAGCTCTATTGGTTTAATCCCGTATTATTTGTTTTGCATGTGAATATCTATCTCTTTGTGTTGAAGTCGCCTCGGTCCATGTTGGACAACTGTTTTTGATGGATTCACTTTTTACCACAGTACAACAGGTCACTATCTCGTGAGTAAATAAGAATGCTGCAACAGTGCATGCAGACACAGACAACATCAGTCATCAGGTTCCTATAATCTTCAAGCAGTTTTTCTTTCTCTCCCCCTCTTCTTGAACACAGACTAATTAACCTTCGTACCAAGGGCATCTCGTACTAAACCTTTCTTGTAATTAAAGGTTATCATGTAACGTTGTCTACACCCCAACTCGATACTCTCGTATCAGTCTGAAGACAAAGAGGCTGCAGGGCAGGTGCATATCGAGAGTTGATACAAGGATGGCCAGATTTATACCTTTTATCACATATACTTAACACGGTTAAATGGGTTAAGTAATATCCTTTTTATGGATAACTCATAAAAGACCCCATATTATGATATGGAAAATCATCAAACAGCTGTACGGAAAACAGAATACACCAATAGGTCCTGGACAGATATAACACCAACAGGATGGATATAACTCATCCAGTAGGGACCAGTTGAAATTCAACATCAGAAGAGATCCGAGATGTGTGGTTAGATCCCTACCCGGAACTCCCGACGATTATCAGGAAGCTGAGACCTTGAACCTGCCGATGCAGTCGTAGTCTGTACGACTCTTAACCCCAGATACTCTGGACAGCATGCCTTAAGATGAATGACTGTTTACGGGGTGTGTAAATCCAACACACAAACAAATAGCAGTATCACATATGTAACACACAAGTAAATTACACTATTTGTTGTTTTTTGATGTGCAGATATGTGCGTGATTTAGCAAAAACATAGCCTTACAATAGAAAGCTATTGATGAGAGAAGAAAAGTATGCGATACTAAATAATTACCGAGGGTAAAAGTACATTGTTAAACGCTGAAACAGAGAACGTAAGTAAAAACGGGAAACTGGCAAAGGTATTACATCGTGCACTTTATATCCCTTATATCAAACATGTCTCATTATTATATTATCTATATTTGTTTGAAGAAATGCCAGGACTGTTCTGAGGATGTTACAAAACATTTTACTCACGCTGATTAACGCTAATAGATGTTCAGGCCAATTATAAACAACATCCATCATTATATAACGAGCCATTGTAAGCGTAAATGACATTTTTTTTTGTTATGAGAGACAGAGAGTGAAAAAAAAGTAATTGAATCCAGATGTAATTAGGGATAATATATTGATATTACAAAGGTGATAATGTGATGTAATAGTGTGGCTGTTACCTTGACCTCAACGTTTAAAACAAAGTGCAAACTTATTTTTTTCGTTCTTGTTGAAAAGATGAATACAAAAACTTATCTTTGTCACTGATACAGTGTAGTTGAGTTAAATCACCTAGTTCACACGTCACGCTCAAATTTATGTTAATAACCAACAAGTGCTGTCCACTAGGTGCCTGTAGGTAAACTTTGTAATAATAATTTCTTTAAACATTTCCTTCTGATAATTAAAGTGGTATTGACTAAGGGTCAAAGGTTACCAGGTTAGGGGTTAATGTCAATTTTGAAACCCCCCATTTCCTTTACACTCTCTCTATATATATTTAGAAAAAAAATCAACAAGTAGCTCGCTAACGTTTTCAGGTCGAGCGGTCATTTTCAGGAGATTTGTTTATACTGGTAAAAACATTATTTACTTTGACATAATGAATCAGCTGCCCGAACGGAATTAGAAAAAACATGGTCAAAGGTCAAGGCCTTTCTCACATTTTCATTACCATAATCGGCATATAATTTGTAAAGATATCATGAATAACGTGATAGGTGACCAGATCAGATGACCATAGGTCAGAATTATGCGTCAAATTTCTGGATCTTAACTGGTGATGTGTTTTTTAGGAACAGGAAATGTATATTCTTGACAAATTGATACAAATATTTTTGTCCATAGAACAATCGATTTGTGCTTTTCAGAATCATAAATAATTTTTATCAGAACTTTACAATACCAGACAAATAGACACCGGTTGACCTGAAATTTAAACATCAGAAGTATTGGTTCTTCAGTCGCCTCCTTGGTTTCACAATTTAGGCCCTTACCATCACGAACGCGTCCTAGACGGACGCAGTTTAATTCATTGCCTAGCTCTACTGTATCTAACTCTAATTTTGTACTTAAAGGTCCTATTCACATGTGTGTTTCGTACAAAGTTAGATTGACTATCTGCTTCGACACTAAATAATCCTAATAGACACTCTACACTGTTTTACCTGTATTATTTGTTTACCTTAACATAACCCCCAACAACATAGAAAATATTAATGTGTAACTTCAACCTGGAAAGCAACCAAAACCGAAAGTTTTTACTGTTTTACATGGAGGTGACTATAAAGAAAATGGCATATGTCCTACTTTAAAAGGAAACTTTCCATTTCAAACATTTATTCTCAAATTCTTTCAATTATCTAAGCATGACAGCTTATTGATTCATGGTTTATAATAAAAATAGTGTTCCAAAGTCGAGTTAAGTTACTGAGATACATACATGTATAATATATGTATGTATATATGTCATAAAGACTGGAG